AAGTTCGAGGCTTTTAGATAAAAATAATCTACAGAAGTTGTAATGAATGGTTATCATATGGACGCAAATGATGTCTACATTACATTCGCTGGCCCGTCTACGTCATACGTGCCTCTGCCATAAAACCTTGCACTGACTTACGTTTCAATATTGACCTCCCTTTCTTACCGTTACGTCTTATCGTTGATCCCATTTTTTCATAAGCACTTTTGAATACGAGCCAATAGTCCTAATATTTCCATAAATTTATTCTATTTCAATCCGTGAAGCTTCCTTATTCCAGTTTTTATTTTCTAAATAAAACTTTGCAGCATCCCTCTGTATCCATCGGTTTTTTCCAGCCTTTGAGGATCCGACGTCACTTCACGACAAGGGTGAGAGAGCAACAGTTTCAAAATGTGCATTATAAATGAGCTCCTTTGTATGAAATGGGCGCCAGGGGTCGTAAGTCGCAGTGCGCCAGCAAACACCAGCACTTGAAATGCTAACGATATTCTCTAAAGCAGTGTGTATGACCGTGTTTCAGAAAGCTGTGCATTTGGTATTTAAATGTTTTGCAGTGGAAGGGTGATAAAATCTTTCAAGTGGTAAGAAACATTTATTAATATATATATTTAATATTTTAAAAATTAATACTACCTGTATTATATTACGTATTAAAATTATACTTCTCTGAAACGCCAAGACTATATTTTATCGATATGTAAAAGTAATGAAAATTTTAAAGCTCTCTGTTTCTAATTATTTATTTTAGCTTATAGTAGAATCTTGTTAAAACAATCTGCATTTTCAGTTAAAAGCGTCTTTATAATTAATCAGCGTCTAAATAATGTGCCCGTGTTATGTTTATCCCTACTCGCCACGACGAGGCACGTCCTTAGATTACACAGATGAGCAGAAGGCCTTAGGATAAAGACGCAGCTGTGAATTCGTAGATATCGTACAGAATTAAAGTATGTACTAAAAGGTTTGTGACTCTAAGTTCAGGTCACCCATTGGACAACAAAGTTTTCCATATCCCAACGCCGAATTCTTTTTTATGAATTATCTATGTGCCTTCCACAAGCGATGCGATACACGCCCCATCTGTACGTAACATTCTCAACGACACTCATTATCACATCTCGAATCTTTTCAGTTCCCTATCAAGGATTCTCTCTGAGGAGAAACACAGACTTTCGCAGAAATGAAAATAATTGGGTAGGTGACCTTGGCCTCCATCCGATGTATCATTCAAAAGAAATCGGCGATCCTTGGCATAGGAAACGTGTTTAAATGTGAGACAACATCTTATCAAGTTTTCTAGGATTTATTTTGATACTGTGAATAAGTTTAAATATTTATTCGAATTTATTACATTTGACATGTGAGGTGTTATGGTGACAGAAATGTTTTATAAATATTCCAAGTTTTACGTGCCGGCGTGTTCTTGTAATATCGACTGACTAAAAATGCAAACGTTCATACACAGACAAATTCGCACTCGCTAGGGATATATTTAGCAGGTAATCGCCCAAATCAGTTACTTCCATCAGCACGCGATGTTCTAATAATAAGTTTAAACTAACCAAAACGCGTGCTTGATGACAGAAATACACTTACACATCAAAAATTACGCCGTCTCTTTAATTAAAATGCAGTTACTGGTATGATAAGAAAAACTGCAATTAACTTCCGGAAAGAGATTATAAATGACAACGAAGTGATTCGGTAACCCACCTGACACATTCTAGTAAATATAGAAAATTATAAAAAAAAATCGTGTTTTGTGGTTTAAAAGAATTCTTACAAAATTTGAGATTTTTACTACAGATCGTGTTCTGATTTTATGGGATGTTCAGCCTTGTGGCTGTATGCCTATCAGACGCTTGAGGGAGCATACTGACTCCGTCTTCAGGGCTGAAATAATAATGCATGGATACACATAACGTATCTTTTAAAACGTAATCTAGCAACGACGTACTGTGTCACAAAAATTAAGTGATATTTAGGTATAATCTTACTCCATTTGGTTGCTAGGCCGCCACTCACACCCCCAGATGCCAAAATGGTGTATTCACAAGTAGAAAGTGTGTTCCTTTTCGGAACTTTCCTTCGAATGAACATCTTTTGGTCCTCTTTGTGATTCATTTAGCGGCATTACTGAATAAGTCAGCAATACGCTATCTGGTAACAGAATTTCGGAATGCAGGAAACGTCTGCTGGGACAAGCTTTTATCGAGTGACGGAAAACGATAAAATTACTGCCTTCGCTAGTTCATGCAGAGTTGCGTTTCAAATGGAACATTCTGTACAAACAGCAATCACTCACGTGACAGTGACTGTTGTTATTACGAAACTAATCTGTTACTCGTGGGGTCTGGTGTTTGAATTCTGTTAGAATCATTTTTTGTTTTGTGGGTTTGTTGAGTTTTGCGTGAGCACTTCCGGTTTGTTCCTTCGAATATCTTACGTTTAGATCTATACGTGTTGATGTGTTTGATCTGAATCCATTTCCTCCTTACGTGCCCGAAAGATTTCGCTCTGTATGATCTGCGTCTTCTTGATTTGGCTTCTAGTCTCGCAGCCCCACCCAGGAACTCCACTTGTAATGGCGCAGAATGAATTTGTATTTTTGAAGAAGCATTTTTAATTTTCCATTGAGTATTTGACACAGTCACAAATAACTTCCGGTTTGTTCCTTCGAATATCTTACGTTTAGATCTATACGTGTTGATGTGTTTGATCTGAATCCATTTCCTCCTTACGTGCCCGAAAGATTTCGCTCTGTATGATCTGCGTCTTCTTGATTTGGTTTCTAGTCTCGCAGCCCCACCCAGGAACTCCTTGTAATGGCATTTTTAATGTTCTATTGAGTATTTGACACAGTCACAAATAATGCTAAATATATTTTCAATATACATTTCATATTTCTTCATTGCGTGAATATATTTTTGAGGCTGTATATGGGTCTACAACATTTTTCCATTTTAGTACCTGGAAAAATCAATGTAACGCTGAATTGATATTAGGTCAATACACAAATGTACTAAGATTCCAAAATTGTGCGTCACATCTGATGGATATGTAGGACGATTTAATTAGGTAGTTATTTCTATGTAATGCGATAATAAATAATAATAGTAATTTTATATAACATATTTACAGTTACAAATAACAATAAAGTAATTAACTGGAGACACAGTCGATAGTACAAAAACTTAGAACGATAAATCGCGAGCTACATTGCATGTCATCTTATAGCTAGATTTTAAATTTGCATTACACAAATATAACATTATCAGTACAAGGTTTTAATAACTGCTAATCTACTCAACACGCCATTAGACCTTACAGGCTGATACAAAAACAACAAAAAACGTTCACCCACACTAAAGTCATATTGAGCATGATATACGTATACAGAACAACATCGAATATGTTATTAAAATGGAATAAAATCTGGAAAAGAACATCGTTTGATATCTGATAAACATCTGATAAAAATGTACACTAAAATAATATATAGAAATTGTATTTAAGTTATTATTGATTCGAATTTTTATATAATTATATACACCTGAAGATGGTTCTTTTAGGAACTGAAACATGACGTGAAAAATGATGGTCTAATGTAAATCGAATATTTCGATAAAGAACATCATTTAATATTTTAAATATTTTAAATGTTAATTATTTTAATATTTAATAAGACTTTATTGTGATTAGACGGACAAGATTTAAATAATATATATAAATAATATACTCGTGGGATCTGTCAGAACTTATTTTATAACTGAAGTTGTCTACTTTTCTTGATGAGAGTATGATTTATCTCGTGCTCTTGCATATTCCGTGGAACGAAAATCAATGAAATTTTCTAACTGCTTTTGTTTCTTAAATGTCATAACGTCGAGAAAGTTGGAAACTTTGTACGCGAAAGAGCATTTTCGTAGTTCTTGGATTTGTAGGACAGGCCTGCATTATGGATACATGGGTGCACCAACAAAGTCTGTTTGATTAAATCCTTTGTTTCAGTCGTGTTATTTATGGCTAAGTGGATTTTAAAGAACTGTGTGAAATGCATCTGGATTCATCTGTTTTGATATAGAGTCTAATGGCGGATTCTTGAATACTGTGATGAATTTTTTTTATCTATCTGAGTGACATGGATGTAATTAGTTAAAAATAGTTTTGTAGTTTGGTTATAAAGTGTTTTAACTATGGTACTTCAAACGTTACGTTGTGTGTTGTTTGTGTGGACTTGATTCGTTGTATATTAAAAATTAAGTCACTACGATTCTGCGTCAGATAATACTCCCGTGTCCGGACTAAAATGTCTTCTCTGCACTTCTAATAGAAGGGACTAATCCAAAGGTTCAGCCTCTACTTTCAGAAGAAATAGAATAGACATTTTCACCTGAACACGAGACCAGAGCCAGGGTTCTCGTATGTGTCAAATCCAAAGCTGATCTGGTCACAGCTTTGTAGTTTTGTAAAATCTTTAGAGGTCGTGACCCCTGCAGCAATGCTAACATGTGGTACTCCTTTTATGTATTCTGTCTGTCCATCGGTTATACGAGAGTAAGTAGACGAAACAAGTGAATATTATCTTTAGTTCAATTCGAAACCTTTGATGTATAAACACTGCCTTGACAGGCAGATAAGAAGATTTTAAGTAATTCGTACAGCAACTTTTTAGCCAAAAATATCCCTGACTGCGAGATGAAAGTGTGCGAACCATGTCGCCTTACCCGTGAGAACTGGATATAAAATGCATCAACGACTGTTCCTGTCAATGGCTAACATCTGATCCCTCGCCCAGATGATATTCCTACCTTTTCCTTGTAGTATATTCCTTCCAAGATTCCCGTACTCTTAAACCAACCCCTCCCCATATCTTTTCATCCCATCAACTCTGGGGTTGCAGTTAAAGGCTGGCGCGCGTGCGCACGACAGACAGAGAGCGGGAGAGATCGACCGACCGCCCCCAAAAAGCCCACAGTACATAGAATCCCTGCTAGTGAGCTGCAGGCCCGGCGGAAGTTAGCGGGAACTCGTTCCAGCGTAGAGCTAGCAAGCGAGCCGGCAGTCTCAGTGCGGCCAGCGTATCGCCTAGCACGGATATTTCGTCTTCGGTACGGGGAGACACTTTGTACAATTGTCGTGCTTACGTGACCCTCCTAAACAGATTATTAAGCTGCCCCGTTAACATAGAGACTTCACAGACCTTTCCAGTGCCAATCCACGTCCATATTAAACAACCATAACCGGTTAGAAAAGACAAACACTTTGTCGGGACTAGACTATTACTTAGTGAGGTTATTGGTTCGTCATTATCTTCAGCAAGACAATGGTTGGTAAGGGGCGAGGCGGTAAGAATATCTCAGTGTTTAGAAGTTGGAAAGTGTGAAGACAGAGTAATTTGAAGCTGTGTCGTTTATGTGTGTTGATTACATTATATCATGTGTATGTAAAGACGTAAATCCACTCGCACATCAACTTTAAAACAGTAATTTACTGATAATTGTGGTGTTATAGTAGTCTCCTTTGTAGCCGTGGTATTTATTAGACTGACGTCCATAACCTAAACAGGCAAACACATTTAAAATCTGTAAGAACAAGTTTTAGTATCACCTCGAAACTGAAAACTCATATGGGTTTATGTAAAGTGTTAGGCCTACCAGATAAGATTAGTGAAAGAATGTTAGGTTATGTGATGATTCTAATAAATAAAAATTAGACTGTGTTTTAAGTACTGAAGACACTGCATATCTCGCGTGTGTATGGAATAGACAGTGACCGGATATCTCATGTACCACGTCGAAGATAACTTTTAACACCACGTGATCAGTTCGTCGTCCAAATGCGGGTGACTGTAAGACAGAACGTGTGTCAGTGTGCGGGAAACCAAGTGTGATTTTTGAACCGCTGATAATAAACTATGAAACAGATGAAAGGTTTACCGAAATGGCAGCCTACTACATCAGCGCTACTGGTGTTCATCATTAGCTGTATTCCAGGGCATGCACAAGGTAGGTCTGTTACACGTCACAATGAGTCAGCTACCTCGCTGTCACGAGTGTCTCACAGCGATCGCTCAAAATATTTACTTCCCTAGAAAACGGAACAAAAGACGGGCTTGTTATTGTAGCGTGTTCTATAACTGATAAGATCTGCTGTCTCTAACGTAGTACGTAATTTTAAAATTATAACCTCAAAGTAGGCCTAGAGTTAAAGACAAAAGAGTGGCTATTAATCGTCTCAAATCATTTGGAATATAATACTCGTGTTCTCTAAACAAATATCAAGGTTAACAGCTGTTACTACAGCCAGCCTCGAAGCGTCTTCATGTATCGGACCTGCAATACGGAGTCCCGGAAGGACACGGAGCCTATATTTGAGTAAATACTCTGGTGGCGATATTCGGAATTATAATAGTACGCTGATATCTAAAAAGACTTTACAGCGGATTGTAGAAATGTCACGTGATACAGGTATTAGAACGGAGAACAACACAACACGACTTAATCTTGATTTTAATCAGTACAATGGACCGTGAAGTAATCCCGTAAGTCAATCTAATTTAATTACTGTAATTCACTGTCTCCAGAAGCTAATAGTTGTGTATCTAATAAACAAATTCGGCTCCTTATCTAAAAGTCATTACCGTCTTTACAAGAGACAGCTATTGAAATTTATAACGAGCCAGTTTAATTCAATCTGCACCCTAATTCTTTAAGATTCGTCTAAATATTATATATTCATCTACTCGTATGTCTTACATGTTGTGTCTTCCTTTGGCTAAAAATACACGTTTGTGATGTCTCTTCCAAGGATGCTCATCTCTTCAGTTTCTGCCGATAAAAAATTGAATTTTCCTTAAAGTCGTGTAATCTGCAAAGCATGTAAAGTATTAGCATTGAAGTATTGAAAAAGTCTGATTAAGTACCAACTGATAGTTGTGGCATTTGTCAGCGAGACACAGGACACAAACTACAAAGGACCTCAAAAGGATTCATCATATCCGACCTTCATAACGTCAGTGTTTTCTGATAGTCCCAATGGTAACGATATTTTTTTTCAAATAAATTACGCAAATATATATGCCGTCTTCCGCCGTGTTCTGGTTTGAGGTTAGGTTATAAATAACGAAGAAGTACTTGAACCCTGTCTCTTCTCTGGAGTACCTCTGTAAAAAGGTAGTGAATGTAGATTGGAAGGAAACGTTCCAAGGTCTCAAGACTTCCGTAGGAATTCGAGTAGGTAAATTGGCTAATAATATTCGCGTCAATACTAGAGCAACCGAAAGCTACTGCTTTGTAAAGAAACTTAAAAGAGAATAATTCTTCCAAGAACACTGACTCCATAAAGCACAGCCCTTCACTGAGAAGCTGATAGTCTCTCAACTAGCCAATAAATCTCCAGTCCTTTATGGAACGTTAAGGTTTATTACAGAGTTCACATTAGCTCGCCACTGAATCTGATAAATCCGGTCCACGTTGTCTTTGCTTTCCTATTTAAGATCTTTTCCACGATTAGCTTCGCTTCAGATTTTGCAAATGATATTTTGTAACATAATTTAAACATATTTTCAGTTGTCAGTAATCATAGGCAGGAACATGTTCGAAAAACAAAGATTATAAAATAGGAATAAAAGTAATGTTACGAGCATCAATACGAAAATGGACTTGTAATCACCGCAATTGGCTCTTGTCCAAAACAAAAATTAAGTTAAAAACGTATTAGTATGTCAGTTCTCTTTATTCTCGCGTGTTTACTAGAAAAGTAACAATTTACTGGGGTCTCGGGTTCGATTCCCGGCGGTGCCCGAATTAATAACTTGTGTTGGGCAAGGCCGTGGTCTAGGCAACACGGAGTTTTCCTCCGTGGCATCCCAACAATTACTCCATTCACACACAGAAGAAGGCAATGGCAAACCACTTATGGATCATCTGCCAAGAACGTATATGAACAGGTCCCAATCCGAGAAAAGGATGGAAGGATCCTGCTCATATGGACCTGTCCTCAGACAGAACACTAAATAAAATAAAAAATTAAATTTCTCGTCCAAGGACATCCTAAACTGGTTAATTCTTGGTTCATTTAGCGACGCTGTTTAAGTTAATTACATTATTAAGATGGAATGGTAGAATGCGTTGTGAGTAACAAAGTCTAACTCCAAAGGGCAGTTCCATGTGACGAAGTGGTCGTGCCCCTTGACGTTTTAATTTTCTTCTCCGAAGGATTTTAAAAAAAAATTGTGATTCTTATCTTGTCTGATGCTTTACATACAAGTGTTGACATTAATACCCTGCCCGTAAAATCTAAGTTTTTGATTTGTAAACCGAGCCAAATTCAAGTTATTTCAGGAGCAAATTCAAAATATGTTTAATTATATGTTAATTTATGTAGGATTCAGTGAAACTTGTATTGAGGATCATACTGTGGTAATATGGAATTTTGAAAAGGTACTTCAAAAATGAATAAATGTGGACTATTTCCTTTCAAAAGTAGTACCAAAGGGGAAAAAAATGTCCCGATGGAAGGAAAATTTTGGATTACCCTGTCAAGCTGTGCTAAGTAACTGACCAGTCTCTTTCCTCAACAATTTGATCTTCACGAACTATTAATTATAGAGTAAAGTATCTGCACACGTGACACCCACACGGAAACAGGTAAAGTTATTAGTTCATGTAATTATCCGGCAGATGTGGCTGTCGGAAGTAGACGAGTTATAAATTCGTACGAGAGGGAATCTCCGCACTTTCTTTCATCCTTCAATGAAAAATGTCGTGAAAGCAAGGAAGTTGTTATTGAAGTAGGATTGAATTCCGCAATTGAAATTGAATTTCGTCATAATGTTCTGTGCTGTCTGTCTCATTCAGTAAGCAAGACAGTCAAATGGAACATTTAAACTTTTGGCTCCCGTGACATGTTCTTACTCACACAGGACACGCGTATTTGTACACAGACTTGAATGCAATACACAAAATTGGCTTCTTGAAGCCAATGTGAAGCACGCTTCAATCAAAGCAGTCACACTAATCTGACTACGCCAATCAGACAATAAAACGTATTTATACTTTAATGAGTTGCAGATTTGGAGTCCATTAATATAACGAAATGTTGGTGCTGATGACAACATTTGGTATTAAGAGGGAGAAGTTATCAGAAAACTGCGTAGTGAGGAGACTAACTATGTAACTAATGGGAATATTCATCACATAAGTAATCTCATTCGATTCAATTTTAAATTTAATGTTTGTTTTAATTAAATTTTAATTTTAATTCTAAGCACATCGTTCGTTAATATTATCATGAATTTGGCCTGAATATGGTATTTTAATAACGAAAGACATTGTCACCGAATGTTACAAGGATTCAATTAAATGTTTTGGAGGCAGTAATCATAATAAACAGCTCATTCGCAGTGCAGTTCTTTCAAAAGCTGTTTTCTGGCCAAATGTGATTAAGGGGGATTGTATCAGAAATGGGGATGTAAGAGATACGTACAGAAATTTAGTCGGAAATCCTGTAGGCAGAGGATGATTTGTGTGAGAATAATTTTTCTTAAAACTGATCTTCAACAAGTGTGATATTAAACCATCTGAGCGACTATCAGTTTGTCAAGAATCAGTTACCTTTTACCGCCGCAGATGCAACATACATATAAATCGCATATTTTGCGTAATGACATTCGTGCGTTATGTGAAACCTGTGACCTTCCGACCCTCCTTTCGCTCGGCTCTGCCCTTCGTGTTTCTCTCGGGACACTTCTGTCAATCGGCGCTGAGTAATGTTATGTTACGTTACAGCTTCGTCCAAATGTGTTCAATATCTCCGAGTAAAAACGCTGTAATATAGTCTGATTCATAATAAAGGAATAACTATCTAAGTCACTTAAAGCAACAAGTAATATAAGCCATTGTACTGCACATAAAGAAAGAATCTCAATCCGTAAAATATGTCAAGACTGTCCTAGCAAATATTACGACACTCCTTGTTGCATTTCTTAGCCAGATTCCAGTATTTATAAAGAAACGCTGAGTTATGTTATATTATGGCATGGTCTCTGTCTTTCCGTCCATCACAGTGTCTCACAGATAAGCTCTGAACCAACTGGGCAGAATTTTAACTGTGTTTAGAGGTTAAAAATTACTAATTAAGTCCGTCCAATTGATTAATCCTGTTGATGAAATTTTTATTTATTGTAGTTCTATTTTCAGGGTCTTTCGACAGTCATTTTTTCAAACGCGTATTTCAGCCGATCTATTAGAACATGATTGAATATATTCATGTCAATTTCAGTTCATGGATAGGTTAATGTCACCTCAAGATCACGACAAGATCAGTGCAAGTTTCTGAGGAATATAGGTCTTTAAAGTTTCCAAGCTCACTTCAGGAAAAAAAAATTTCGCGCTTATATCTGCATAACTGTTTTAATTTGTGTGACGATACTCATGTTAGTTCGAAGTCACACTTGGAGTACAATGACAAAAACTGGAGAGGAACTGTGGATAGACTTCTGTGAAGCTTTACTGTCGAAGTCGAGCCAACTTGACAAAGAAAAAAAAGTATCTTAAACGGACGTCCTCATATAACTTGTGAAATTGTGCTTTTAAAAACCAAAATATATTTCTACGCTTTGCTCGGATATCCATTCATTGCTCATTTTCCGAGTATCACAGCCATCCATCAGACAAGCAGACGGGCGGCTCCTGTCTGGACCCTTGCTGTTTGTGTTGTTACTCCCTGCCGTGACAGTTCATGGCTTCTCCACGTGTCTTTCCGTTCCTTTATCAATGAGAATACAGCAAGAATTAGGATATCCTTCAGAAACACGTAAGCCAAGACATAATCAATTACTGAATTTTGCTTCACAAATGATTTTTACCATTCTGCTACAGAATTGAACATTAAAATATGCAAGACTATCATTTTGCCCTGTGTTCTTTTCGGACATGATCTCTCACATCGTTAGAAAGATTAGAGGATTCTGCGAACGTGTGTTGGAGGAGATTATTTGGATCTG